ACTAGAGTCCTCGACGAATCAGCTTTCCGCTTCATCTTTTACTGTTACTGCGGCCGACAAGAAACACCACCATGGCTCCTCTTCTTCCGCATCTTTTCGTTCCTCTCTCGAACACGAGGAGCACGCTGATTTGCCTGGTCCCCTCCCCTTCACACAGGCGCTCCAACCATTAGCATCTCGTCTCTCCCGTGCAGACTCGCGTTCCAAGTCGCAGCAAGGCGCCGCTGCCAAGCACCAACTCACCACTGGTCGCCCACGATCCGCCTCGAATCGCTCCGTCTCCTACGTCGATCCATCCAACATGCCTTCCGACTTGCAACGTGCCTCTTCTCGCGTCTCCTCCATACACCGCTGCGCCGATCCTCACTACCCAGCTTCCGCTCTCGCTCTCACCCTCACCAAGTCTCAAGATCCCGATGCAGTCTACATCGACTGGCCCGCTGATGATCCCGAGAATCCTTTCAACTGGTCCAAGTCGACAAAGTGGATCCTCGTCTCTGTTTGCTTCCTCTTCACTGCATGCACCGCCTTCAACGGTTGCGGATATCCTTCGGCTTCACAAATGGCTGCACGTGATCTTCATACCACCCAACTTATCTACCTTGTCGGTAACACCGTCTTCCTCCTCGCCGTCTCCATCACACCCCTCGTCTTGGCACCACTCAGCGAAGTCTACGGTCGAAACCCCATCTACCTCATCGCCGTCCTCATCTTCACTTTGCTCTACATCCCTCAAGCGCTCGCCAACAACATCACCACCATCATCGTCGTAAGAGGCTTTCAGGGCATGGCCGCCTCGGTCGGAAACTCGATGGTGGCTGGAAGTGTCTCTGATGTCTTTCACGCCAACGAGCGAGGTTTCCCCATGTCGCTGTACGCCATTGCTGTTTACATTGCACAGGGTGTGTCGCCTTACCTCTCTTCGGTCACCGCCAACCGTGCCAGCTGGCGCATTGTCTTCTGGTGGCAGGGCGCCCTCTCCCTCTTGACCTACGGCCTCATGTTCATTTTTCTCAAGGAGACCCGAGGACCCGTCTTACTCTCGAGGCGCGCCAAGAAGCTCACCAAGGAGACCGGCCGACTGCACAAGTGCAGAGCTGACGACGAAAGGCTCAACTTCCTCGTCATGGTCAAGGTCTCGCTTGTCCGACCCATGCAGTACCTCGTCTGCGAGCCCGTCGTCCTCAGCTTTGCACTCTGGATCGGCTTTCTGTGGGGTATCATCTTCATTTCGCTCGAGGCTATCCCCATTGTGTTTTCCGGCTATGGTTGGAACGCCGAGCAGCAGCACATGGCCCTTCTTACCATTGCTGTCGGTGGTACGATCGGATACTTTTTCAACTTTCATCAAGAAAAGCTCTATGCAGCTACTGCGCGCAAGTACGGCGGCAAGCCTCCACCGGAAGCACGTCTCTACTATGCTGCTGCCGGCGCTGTACTCGCCCCCGTTGGTCTTTTCATCTTTGCCTGGACCGGTCGACCCGGCATCTCCCCCGCGGCGCCCATCGTGGGATTGACGCTCTTCAACCTGGCGCTTTTCCCCGTGTACCTTGCCGTTTTCTCGTACCTTGCCGACGTCTACGAGAGATACGCATCGTCTGCACTGGCAGCACAGAGCTTTTTGCGTAATACGTTTGCAGCGTGCTTCCCGCTTTTCTCGCAGCAGATGTACGCTAAGCTGACGCCCAAGTACGCCTCTACGTTGCTGGCCAGCATTGCATGTTTGCTCGGAGTTGTGCCTTTCGTATTGCTCAAGTACGGCGATCGTATTCGAAAGCACAGTCGCGCGGCAATGGAACTCGAGCGAGAGGAGCAAGAGGCGGCTGAGTTCCTCGCGCACGAAGAAGAGAAGCGCGGTCGTCGAGAAGCTCGTCGAGCCGCACGTGCTGCCCGTGCCGCCGTAAGCAGCACCCAGGCCGAGGACCAAGTCAACACCTTTGACGAGGAAAAGATGATCGACCGTGACGAAAGCCACGACGATCACGACGACTCGATCGACGAAGAGAAACGCACCGCCCAACACAACCAGCACCACCACCACCACCATCAGCATGGCCACGAAGACGAAGACACCATCAGCTCCGGAAGCATCACCCCGGCCATCGTAACCTCAAACACCAGCACCAGACCACAAGATTGCGACGATTGCAACAACAACACCTTCCGACGTATGCCTCCAACCAGCATTTTGTAGTGAATTACACCCTCATCTATTTCCTTTCCTCAAGCCAAGTTTTGTACTTTTTGAAGCATACGTCATTCATCGTCAAAACGTTGATCTTACTCTCTTCAAACCATAGCTCTGTCTATCACTCGTGTGGCGTCCGTTCTGCTGGAGTGCGGTTTCAAGCGTTTGGTTAAAGTGCGACTGCGTCTGTGCTGTAAAATTTTACGCTGGCTAACCCAGCGTGAGCAAGTTGGTCAAAAAGCTGTATTTCCGCACATCCCATCTCCTCGGCTTCATCCATCATCCTTCGTTCGCATAGTCATCAACATGGTTAGGGCATTGACCCAATTGAAATCGGCTAGGTTAGGTTGCGGGGTTAAACTGTAGATTTCGGGTCAAAAGTGCCACGTACAATCCTCCTCTTCCAGTCAGAGACATACAGTGCGTTCGAAAACTGTCCACATAAAAAATCGCATCACCATAAATGTCCGCTTTGCACCATGTTCTCTCCATGCAACACACCTTCATCCTACATCGTTAGAAAGCCCTGCTTCACAGCTATGCTGTGATGTAGTTCACATTTGTATTGAACAGCTCAATGGAGAAATTATTGAGCTCGCATTTTTGACTCTCATGTCGACAGTTTTTGAACAACATATACTGGGGCTCTAATACTTTGTGTGACCACCTTTGGCCTTGATGACTGCCTCAATCCTTCTGGGCATGCTTTCTATAAGTGCATGACATGTGCTGACCGGAATTTGAGCCCAAACCTCCTGGACTCTGCACTCCAATTCAAGCACACCAGATGGACGAGTATTATACTGACCTAGGCGCCTTTTGAGCTTGGTCCAGAGGTGCTCAATGGGTTTGAGGTCAAGGGACTGTGCAGGCCAGTCCAGGAGACGGATGTGGTTGTCTTGGAACCATTGCATGGCAATCTTTGCCTTATGCTTTGGATCATTGTCCTGCTGAAAGATTGGACGAGTAACGTCGTTGAAGAAGCCAATTGTCCTGAGCAATCGGAGCAGATTCTCCTCAAGAATGTCAATGTAAATGCCCGCAGTCATCCTCTGCCTGACAACATGGACGCTGCCAACACCCTTGTGTGTCATTGCACCCCATACCATGATGTTACCGCCACCAAACTTGAGGGTAGGGTGCACAAGCTTGCTGCTGAAGCCTGCAGTGTTGATCCAGCAATGCTGCTTTCCATCACTGCCAAGGCGGTTGATTTTGGCCTCATCAGACCATATGACCGTTTTCCAATCATCAATGGTCAATTCCCTATGGGCCAGAGCAAAGGCAAGGCAATCTTTCTTATGCTTGTTGTTGAGCAAAGGTTTCTTGACAATTTTTCTTGCCCTAAAGTGATTGAATAGCAGGGCCTTGCAAAGCGTCGATGGTGCAAGCTTGACCTTGAGCTGTTGAAGAACCTCCTGGCAAGCCCTGCAAAGTGTTGTTCTGGGGTTGCGCTTGACAAATCGATTGATCCAGCTCATCTGAAGATGGTTGAGCTTATTTTTCCGACCACTCTTTGGTATGGGAAGCTCTTTAATCGTCAAATTCCTGATCTTTGACACCATGGACTTGCTCATTCCAACTTGATGTGCTATCTGGCGAGTTGATAGGCCATTCTCAAGCAGTTTGAGCGCCTCGTGGCGCTTCTGGGGGCTGATTGGCTTCATGGTGCTGTGTAATGATGTAGAAGGGAGGAAAGCGCAAGCAATGCATCCTATCAATGCGGCAGCGCTCAGTCCACTCCAGTAGATGTTCACACATGCACAGGCAAGGTGGGTACAAAGTTTCAGCTCATTTGAATCAGCAGAAGCAGCGTTGTTGCAAGTGATGATGGTGAAAGTGGGCTTGTCCAAAAACTGTCCACATGAGTCAAAAATGCAAATTTCTCCAGACAGAACCTCAAACATCTTGGAGCTCAGATCTGATACCATCACAACGTAGCTGTGAAGCAGGGTTTTCTAACGATATAGGATGAAGGTGTGTTGCATTGAGAGAACATGGTGCAAAGCGGTCATTTATGGTGATGCAATTTTCATGTGGACAGTTTTCAAATGCACTGTACACTTCCATCCGTCTCCAGCAAAACAGATCAGCCGTCCTCACACATACATAATTCTGCTCGTGACAATGGTCTGGAAACCCAATCCAACAGCCTTTCCATACAATTCTCACAGACCTCTACAATGATGTCAAGACTCAAGGCTTCCCTTCATACCGAGGTCTTGACCAAACGCGTCACTCCATGCACATTGTTCTTAATGCCTGCACCACACCACACCAAATCAAAACCGTGGATGCAGAAATCATTCCCTTTCCCAACCAAAACCGATAGCCTGCCAACGCCAACTGACATAGTTGAACCACATCTTTTTCTCTCAACCAACAGCCTAGACTGTCAGCTTCAAGCTTGACCAATAACCAGGTTGCAAAAACCGAGAGCTTGGCACTTGTACACCAATAGTCTCTGCATGATTGTTAGAGCCAGGCAGTAAGTGAGTAAGCAGATGGTATGTGCTTTCTCTCCTTCCAGTGCCTTGCCCATCATCACTCTCTGGAGGCTGTTGATCTCGAGAGGCAGCTCTCCTGGTCAAGATACTGTTGGCATCGATTGTTTGAGGTCATTGGTCAACTATGTTGGTCTAATTGTGACCTCTTGTCGGTTTGGGAGGCCTAGCCATCGGATTTGAGTGGAAAAAGGAATAAATGACAAGAAAGATTTGTTCCCTCTTTGTCGCCACAATTCAACCGAGAAATTCAGTCTCCCACACCCGCACATTATATACGCTACAAATGGTCTCCATTTCGCAATAAAGCTGCTTTAGTTCAGTGGCTAGAACGCCTGCTTTACAATCTCCCCTGTATTACGCAGTAGGTCACAGGTTCGATCCCTGTAAGCAGCATCTGCTTTTAACCTTTTTCTTTTTCTCAGAATTTCGTATCGAAACAAAATGTACAAATCGTAATGGTCTTATCTGATCGCTCTGTGGATGAGTCTGAAACTAATGCACGGCATTTCGTGATCATACACACATATGCAACTCACAATTGACCACGTCCACACAACTCCCAAGCACATTTCTTCGAGATGATTCTTTTTGGTCATATTCACGAGGAGCATATCAAGAAAAGAGGAGATTTTGTAGTGGTAGTCAGTCGGAAAAAAACCTTCTCTTGCTCAAGCCAAGCAACCGGGTCGGGGAAGCGTTTTCCACGGGGCAATACGCATGCATACGCTTTATGCCTGGTAGGTCGAGGCAGAGACGTTTCCGCCACGGCCGGTCCAGTTGATGTGGATGTCCTGACCCTCGGGGAGCTTGGCGCTGGCGAACTCGGGGAGGACGCGGAAGGTGTGGGCACCAAAGTAGTCACGCTGAGCCTGGAGGAGGTTGGCGGGGAGCTGCTCGCGACGGTAGCCGTCAAAGAAGGCGAGAGCAGTCGAGAAAGCGGGGGTGGGGATACCCCAAAGGATGGCCTGAGCCACCACGCGACGCCAGCCCTCCTGAGCGTTGTGGATGGCCTTGTTGAAGAAGTCATCAAAGAGAAGGTTCTCGAGCTCAGGGTTCTTGCGGAAGGCCGAGGTGATGTCCTTGAGGAAGACGGATCGGATGATGCAACCGCCACGCCACATGAGAGCGATCGAGGGGTTGTTGAGCTTCCAGTTGTACTCCTTGGCGGCCTCGCGCATGAGCATGAAGCCCTGGGCGTACGAGACAATCTTGGAGGCGTAGAGGGCCTGCTCGAGGTCAGCAATGAACTGCTCCTTGTTGCCCTCGAAGGGCTTGATCTGGGGACCGCCAAGGATCTTGGAGGCACGGGTACGCTCGCCCTTGAGCGACGAGAGGCATCGGGCAAAGACGGCCTCGCCAATGAGGGTGACGGGCTGGCCGAGGTCGAGGGCGTTGATGGCGGTCCACTTGCCGGTACCCTTCTGTCCGGCCGAGTCGAGGATCTTGGTGAGGAGGGGCTTGCCGTCCTCGTCGTTGTACTTGAGAATGTCACGGGTGATCTCGATCAAGAACGAGTCGAGGACACCAGTGTTCCACTTTGTGAAAATGTCACCAATCTCGGTTTCGTGAAGGCCAAGACCGTGCTTGAGAATGTCGTAGGCCTCGCAGATGAGCTGCATGTCACCGTACTCGATACCGTTGTGGACCATCTTGACGTAGTGGCCGGCACCGGTCTGTCCGACCCAGTCACAGCAGGGCTCACCGTCCGACTGGGCAGCAGTCTTCTGGAAGATCTCCTTGATGTGGGGCCAGGCGGCGTCGGATCCACCGGGCATGAGCGAGGGACCGTGACGGGCACCCTCCTCACCACCCGAGACACCGGAGCCAACGAAAAGGATTCCCTTGGCCTCGAGCTCCTTGCAGCGGCGGATCGAGTCGGGGTAGTGCGAGTTACCACCGTCAATGATGATGTCGCCCTCCTCGAGGTGGGGGACGAGCTGCTCGATGAAAGCGTCAACGGCGGGGCCTGCCTTGACGAGGAGGATCATCTTGCGGGGGCGCTTGAGCTTGGCAACAAACTCCTCGATGGACTTGGCGCCAACGACGTTGGTGCCTGCAAATTTAGGCGAGGAGGAAAAGCAGAGCAAGCGAAAAAAGACGAGATTGGCATGGTCAAAGCAGCCGATTCGGCGGAGGAAAGAATGTACAGAAAGAAGAAATGGGGGGGAGAAACGTCAGAAATCAGCTCCTTGTAGCATTTGTTTGCTTCCTTTCTCCTTACGCCTCGGAACCTCCGGAGGAGCGCAGACACTGTGTTGCGTCGCCCACAGACGCCGCTCGTAGAAGGAGCAAAAATTCCGAGCGAAACAGGCAATTGAGTGCACTTACCCTTAGCCTCGTTGTTGAGGAAGTCATCCACCTTGCTGGTGGTACGGTTGTAGGCGCAGACGGTGAAGCCCTTGTCTGTGATTTTGAGAATGGAGCGAGGAGGAAGGGGAGCAAGGTGGTACGAATTAGTGTCGTCATTCTCAAAGAGCAATAGCGTCAAAATACCAGAGCGAGTGGACTCAGCAAATGGGCTGTCGAGCAAACAGATAGATACTCACCGTTCATGTTGAGGATCAAGTTCTGACCCATGACGGCAAGGCCGATGAGGCCGATATCGGCACTGTTGGGATCAAGCGGGCCATGACAGAGTGTTTTTTTTTTCGCAAAGTGTCAGCAATCGTATGCTTTGGAGCGTTTGGGGTGAAGAGCAGCTGTCTACGATCGGGCTGGACAAGCCGAGCAGAGCCGAGCAGAGCAGAGCAGAAGAGGAAACTTACACAGCTTGGGACGACATCTTGCGTAAACTAAGCTGGGCGGCGAGAGAGGAGATACGGGTGCGTGCTGTAGAGAGAATCCTTGCAACTGCTAAAGAGCAAAAGTCAGAGGATGGAATGGGATGGGATGATGTGGTTGAGGAACAAGTTAGATGGATGGTGTAAAGTAGCAAGAGAGAGAGAGAGAGAGAGGGAGGAAGTGTGTTGGGTAGCGAGAAGAAAGCGGACCGAAGTTGCGAGCGAGGCTGACAGACTGACTGCCACGCTACGAGCTCAGTCTGACGAGTTGACTGACAAAGTGGAGCCGAGAGTGTGTTGGAACCAACTCGCCAAGTGCACGGACGAACTGCGAGGTGAGCACAGTACAGTACAGTACACACACACATCTCAGGTCCGTCCGCCGAGATCGATTTCGCACACAAAGAGAGAGAGGCAAGCCGATCGCAATCTCAAACCCCAGACGCACGCACTGCAACCGTGCGGGAGAATTTGCAACGCGTAATCTCTCGCTCTTTTCCTTGTTTTTCAAAAATTTATTGAGATTTCCTAGCCAAAACAGCACTGTGACGCAGCTAACGTACACTCTACTCCAACTTTACTGTATCTACTGCATTCCCGAGGCTTTTTTGGCGCCCCCCAAAAAGATGACCGGACGCCAACCGCGCTGAAATCTCACTCTCACTCTCACTCTCTTTTGTTTCTGTTTGCCGCGAGATGTCCGCGATGCTTTTCGGGTGTATACCGTGCACAAAAGATGTCCTGAACTGTCACAAAAAGATAATCATCGCTTCTCTGAATCATCTTCATCCATCCAACACATGCTTCAAATTTCCGCCAAGACAAAAGTCAAGTTGCTCCTAATGATGCTGTTGAGAAAGAAAAAGAAAAAAAAAAAGAAAAAAAAAAAAAAAAAAGGTGCGTCCGTGCCCATCCATGCCATCCTTCGACGCAATTCGAAAAGAAATTCAAGAAAATATGTTTTTCGAGGAGAGAGAGAGAGAGAGAGAGAGAGAGAGAGAGAGAAAAACCGGTCCGGAGATCCTGCCCTGCCTTCTGACCCTTTCAAGTTGTCCCTGCATAATGATGAGATCGATCGATAAGGCGAGCTACCTGCAGCATTGCGTCTGTCTATCTTTTCTCTTGCTTGTCAAAACGACGAACCCAATCTAACATGGCACAAATCTGGCCCCTTTCCGAACACGGTCCGGTGTACTTCCGAGCCTTCCTCTCAGAGTTGTTTGAGCTGTCTGTCGGCCTCCTCGAGACGCAGGTGCTGTACTGCGGGCCCCATTCTCAGCCCCGCGGGGTAGATCGACATGCTACAAGCTGCAACAAACAAGCTGCAAAACTCAAGGTGGTGGCCAGTGTGCGACCCACGCGACAACCAAAGCCAGGGTTCACCTCGTCAGCGTTTGCTCTTGATTCTGAACCCTGACATTGCCGGATCCCATCTCTAGATCGCCGGTCCTAAACACCTTCCTCACCCACTTCGAGTTTGCCGACGCTTCTCAAGACCCAACAGTACCAACGTTCAGACCCAAGCGCAAGAAGAAAGATGTGCGTTTCCTTACGAGTGTCAAAGTGCGTTCAATAGGAGCTCTTAAAAGTACAGTACAGAATGAATACATGCAGATGCGAGTCTGGGGATGTGAATGTGTGTGGAATCGGATCACGTCAAAGTCGACTTGGCGCGCAACAAGCCGATGGAGCCTCCGAAGCCGAACAGCAATGCGGTTTCGTTGCGTTGAGGCGTAGCGAAACCATGCACCGGATGCAGGCGCGAAAACGAGAGGACATCGTCAAGCGATTCTTGGCATGGTCTGCCACTTCGTTGGCGTTGCAGAGATGGTCGTGATGGTGGCGAGACGATCTCATCTGATCGCAGAAGCAAGGGCTGTCGTGGCACTAGCAGTTCGCCACCACGTCCCAGAACAAGCTCTTCCCGCAAATCCAGCGACCACCACTCCCATCGGCTCTGACTCGAACTTCGCTGGGCTCGGCCGATACCAATCAGAATGCTCCTTGCTCCCACCGCAAAGCTTCCGCCTCTCTGGCATCGAATCCAGCCCAACAACCTGAGCTGCCTGTCATCTGCCTTTTGCGTAGAGTTGGTGGGCGGAGCCAAGTTTGGAAAGACTGAAAGGCTGGATGATGCCACTGTTCCCTGTGGAGTAGCGTCAGTCGCAGCACTGGTGCCGCTTCTGTCTCGCATGTGTGCACTGGCGCGACGCAACCTCGACGCGGAACCGTGCGATGACATGGGATATGACAGAGGATTGGCGAGCTCCGACGCCGGACTTGGCGGCGTCGAGCCATCCGCCGCCCAAAAGTTGGCAGCGTTGGTACGAGAACCGTTCGGGGTTCGAATACGAAGTGGGGAGCCGGACATGAAGGCGCCCAGACTGCTGTGAATGGACCCGCTCTTCTCCATCATTGCCGCTGCGCCAGGTGCACCGCCTGATACGATAAGCAGAGAAGCACGCCCGGTCGTATGGGCAATGTATGCTGAGGTGTTGGCATCGCCTGTGTCGATCGTGCTCAAGCCCGTCACAGGCCCATCGTCCAAGTCGACGCTGCTGACGGTTTCGGACGTCTCAAAGTCGATCAGTCGCACTCGACTGTTGGCAAACC